CCCGCCAGCCCCCGGGCCGCGGCGCACCCGCCCCCCAAACTTTCCCGGGCCGCGCCCTGTCCGCCCCGCGCCCCCTGTGCCCGCCCTCCAGCGCCCTTGTGCTCTACCCCAGTTCTCCAGCCCCTCGGAAAGGTCATCTTCACTTTGGAAAAAAAGTTTGGGGAGCTGCCTCTTAGCGGAACACAAGGGGTTAATGGGAACTCTTGTCCCCCCCCACACACACACCCACCCCCAAAAAAATCAAATTGAATTTTTAAATAAAGTTTGAAGAGCTGGCCTTATGGAAGAATCGAAAGGTTCAATGAAGATATTCCTATTGCCCCTGCCACACCTCCATAAAAATCGAATGCAATCTAAAAATACAGGTTTGCAGACAACTGGCCCTGTGTCAGACGAGGGGTTAAGGGGACTCTTTCTAGCCCCCAATCAGATGGATTTTACAAATAAATATTTGAGGAGCTGCTTTATACTTATATGAAATGAGGGATGAATAGAGGATTTCTATCTACCCCAGTTAAAAAAAATTTTAAAGAACATTTATTTTAAAACTGAAAGTTTGAAGAAATGGCCCTATGTAAGACAAGAGGGGTTAAAAGTTAAGGGGGAGTCCCCCCTCCCAGATCACCCAATCAAGTTCATTTAAAAAAGAAAAACTTGAGAAATTGTTTCTATGTGAAATAAATGATGAACAAGAATATATACAACACCCTAAAAAAAAAAGAAAAATCAGATTTTTTTGATTTTTTTTATTTTGAAGAACTGCCTCCCTCTGACTTGGGAAGTTTTAAAGGGTTTTTTTGGGGTTTTTCTGTCCTTCTCAAAATCATTTTTAAAAAATTAAAAGTGTGAAGAACCTGCACCTAAAGAGGTGAGGGATTACTGGGTCCATCCCACATCTCCCACAATTGATTGATTTTTAGAATAAAAATTTGAAGACCAGCTCATATATGATGAGAGAAATCTTCCTTTGTCCCTCCCCAAGAGAGAAATGTGAAACCTTTTTAAAATAAAAGCATTGGAAATTAAGGGTAAACAGGTATCTTTTCTCTACCCCACCTTAAAAAAATCAAGGTTTTTTAATGTTTAAAGAGCTGGATCGATATGAGACAGACAGGGTTACAGAAATGTTTTCTCTGCACCCCCCAGAAAAGTTGTTATTTTTTAAATGTCAGGAAACTGTGGGACTGTACAGAAGACACTTGCTCTCCCTGAAGAATGAAAATATGGGAATGTAGCCCTCCATAGGCGGCATAGAATTAAGAGACACACTCTTCCCCAGAGCAAACACAAACACAAGAGGTTAAGAGCAATCTTCTAACCATTCCCCCACCCCCGAAAAAGTTGGAGAGTCATTAAAAATGAAAAGTGGCCATTTCCCTCCCTGCCAGCCTGGCAAGTATGTCCCTGGCAGAGGCTTGGCAGCTTTTGCCAAGGCTGGTATAAGGCAAGCACTGAGGGGAGCAGGGCAGCCTGCGGAGTTTGGCGGAGTTCGGCTCCCATGAGCCCTGGGTATATGTGCTGGCTAGGCAGCCCCCTGCGGGCCTGCCCCGCATCCACCAGGTGGCTGAGGCCTTGTTGCCTGGACAGATGACCAGCTTTGATTCTCTGGCTCCAACCTTGTGTGAACGTTTCTGGGCACCTTCCTCAAGCCCAAGCCCCCGCCTCTGCCTAGTGGAGCTAAGCCTTGTCTTAGGCTCTGGAGTAGAAGGAAACTGGACGCAAATAACACTGGGTCTCAGTTACCAGACTCAGAGCTACAGGGTTATCAAGGGAAAAAAAAAACCACTGTCCTGGAGACAGGAAAAGAGGATGCAATAAACATTCGTTGAGCTCTTACTATGTGCAAAGCACTTTGTATGTAGTGCCACACACATGTCATACAGCCCTTCTCAAACTTGAGCCATCCTCAGAATCACAGGGAGGGCCTGTGCAAATGCAGATTGCTGGGCCTCACCTAGAATTTGCATTTCTAACAAGTTCCCAGGTGCTGCTGATGCTGCTGGTCTCAGGACATTTTTAAAACCATTGCAATACAGTGCCAACATTGAGCTACACAGGTGTGGGAGAAAGAGGAATGGCCTGACCAGGTGGGGGTGGGTTAGGGGGGCGGGAGGATGAAGATTCTAGGAGTAATAACATCCTGCTGGAAGGCTGGGGAGAAGCACTCTTCCTCTCCAGGTCTTAGTCTGACAGCAGGGTCTCTCTAGATCAGGGATTCTTAAATAGAGACCGTAGATGGGTTTGGGGATCCATGAACTAAGCAATATTTTATGTCTTAAGCAAATTTATGTCAATATGTGCATTTGGGGGAGAGAAAAAAATCTCTGGCTTTCACCGTTTTCTCAAAAGGGTCAGTGACCCCAACCTGGAATAATCTGCAGGCTGTTTCCAGGCACCTCTGACCTGGAGAACCCTTGTGGGTCCTTCTCAGCCTTCTCTTTCTGGAATCGCAGCAAGCCCTTTCTGCTTCTCCACCACCCATGGGCCACAGGAACTTGGCCTTCCTTCTCTTCTGTCAGCACATCCCCCCAGAGAGCCCAGAGTGCATTCAACATCACCGTGGGAGGCATGTCCTCCACAGAGGTCCCAGCCCTGGAAGGTCTGTCTCTTCTTCACTCTGTCCCTATGGGGTCATGAATGGTATGCTGGGGGACGAACGCTGAGCTTGATGTCTTCCTGACAAAACTCATTTCCTAAATGCACACACACACACACACACACACACACACACACACACACACTTACTTCCCAAACCATAAACTCTGCAGTCACCCGGAGCTATGATTTATCCCTGTTCATGAGGTTAACTAAGGGTTAACTAAAGGAGGAAGGACAGAGAGAGGAGTCAATTTAGTGAGAGCTTAGGGTACAAGACCAGCCCTGCTCAATGATGGAAGAGAGAGACATATCCCAGGGGCAGAATGAACGCTTACCTTAGGTGGAAACAAAGTCCAGTGGAGACCTCCAAGGGCTTACCCATCCTCTAAGGGTTAATGATCAATTCGACATACCTGCGTTCACCAAATTCTGGAAACTTCCATACCCAGTCCGCTGCCCCCAGAACCAGCAGTGCTGCATTAATGCCTAGGTGACTTAGTTGTTAAGAGTCTAGGCTGTGGGTTGCAACACCTGGTTGCAACCTTGGCTCTGGCCTTCCCGTACTCTGTGATCTTGAGCAGAAAACTCAACCTCCCCTCGCCTCCATTTCCTCATCTTTCAAATGGTGCTGACAACAGAATCTCCCCCATGGGGGTGCTCTGAGGATGAAATGAGATAACACATGCAAAGCTTTTAGAAAGTGCCTGGCATTAAGAAAGTACTCCATACATGTCAGCTATTGGAATCACAGAGACACGTTTCCCGCCTCTGCCGCTGACCAGCTGTCTGTGTGACCCTGGGCTCATGGCTTAATCTCTAAGTCTAGTTGCCATCTCTGCAAAATGGGGATCCTAATACCTACAAGTCTTATCAGCATTCTTTTACCTATAACCAGTAGTAACAAAATCACGCTGAAAGCTTCCCCACCCCCCAAAAAAGGGAAATATTATTAAATTAGGAGGTGGGTCATAGGACTCAAAGGCAAGAAATAAAACAAAACCTCAAGAGAATTTGGAACAGGAACTGGGCTTGCTTGTATCCAATCACTCTGGACCACAGGTATTTTGACATCTCAGCCCTAATTCATGCTCTGTCTCTCTCTCTCTCCCTTCCTCCCTGCCTCTCTCCAGGTGGGCACTCTCTGCTTCTCTAGGCACACAGCCAAGGGGCCCACCCCTCTCTCCTCTCATTAGCAACAGGTGCTGACCAGTGTCTCTGTGTTCCAGTCCAGATTCTCAGGACGGAGAATGTGATTGACCAAGCTTGGCTCAAGGGCCACAGGAGCCAGTCATTGATGACCAAGGGGAGCAGGATCACATAATACACAGAGACTTCTGAGACCCACCTCCGAGAGAAGGAGGTGCAGTGAGCATAGAGGACTCTGAGGATTTGCTGAGATCAGGAGTGTAAAGGTGCCAGGCTTAGGGCCTGACGCATACAACCTGGGGCTTGGTTAAAATCTTGTGGGTAGATCTTGGTAGTGAAGATGCCTTTAGAGTGAAACAATAGGTTCTAAAGTATGTGGAAAAGACTGCAGGCAGGGACTTCACAAAATGGTGTCTTCTTCCTCAGGCTGAGTTTCTTTAAGCCTAAATAAGGAAGGACGTGCTCTCTTATAACAGGCCAGCCCGGGAGACTTGGGCTCCCTAAGTCTCTACAAGATGGGAGAAAACCATATAATCCAGTCTTATAAAATCTCTCAGCAGTGTATCAAACAATATGGCAGCATTTTCTTATTTGCTCTACCAGTTCTCTGAAGTGGGCAGGGGAGGTATAATCACCCCCATTTTAAGGATGAGAAATGCGAAGCTTGAATCCTTGGCCAAACCAGCCAGTAGCAGCCCAGCCTGACTCTCACGCCATGCTCTCCCCACAGTGCTGTCCCACTGAAAACTTTTCTGGTGATTGAAATAAAAATCGACATAGTCTTTAAATCATCCTGCTTTGGCTCGGGACTTTTCTTCTTTTCCTTCCTTTCATATTTCTCCCTGTCCTCCCCCACAGAGGAAGAAGTCTGAAAGAGGTGGCAGCAACTTATTTTCTAAAGAGAGGTCCTTGCAAGTCATGGTGAAGTCTCCGGAGAGGTAGGCATCTGAGGCCTTGGCAGTTATCACCCCCAGGG